CAGTTTAGTTTATAAAAATGGATCTTACGAATCTAGCTGGACCTATAAAATGTAGGTTTAGTTCTATAAAATAGAGTTTATCGCACCCTGCAATTGAAATTACAACACATTACATATTTAGGCGAGTATGTTTATGGTTCAATACATCTGGCAACTTGTATTTACAACAGATTCACTGCCACGCAGGATCACTTTACTTACGAGATATTTCATGATATCAAAATACTGCATTGCATTTTTTTTTTCCCCAAAAAAACGTAGGCTTTATAGGGAATACTGAGCAGTGGAGGACAGGTCAAAATGTTCCCCAATTATCTAACATAGAGATCATCAGTTCTGCAAAGTCTTTTGTAGCCATACTGTCAAGCTTGGGCTGTGGTTTCTCCATGCCACGCATATAACTTACATTTGTGTAAAAAGCTTGTTTTGTAGACATTTTAGAGCTCCTTTAGTCCCCCAATTATCTTTTGGTATACACAGGCCACTTTCTGTTCTTACTATTTCCTACTTCTTTTTCCTGTGGCATTTTCACACATTTAAAGTTGTACCTAACTGCGCAGAACTGCTACTGAACTGGCATTGTCAGGCTAACATAAAGACGACATCATCGCTTGTGACCATATTAATTATTATGAAATAAAACATTTCATATGGTATTACATAATTATACTGTACTTCACACACGTGATTTATGCAGGCTATCATTCTGTAATGACCCTCATTGTAAGTTATACAGGAATTACTGTACTTACTTTTGAGATCTAAATTTCTGGCTCCTGCTGTGCTCTGTGTGGTGATTTTAGTGTCAATCTTTACAGTGTGGAGATTGTTGGTATCCCTTGATATCATCACATTATGCCACTGGTTGTCGTTCAGAGGTTTATTAGAACTTCCTTTGATGAGATTTGCACCATTTCCCAAGTCAAACACATAGTGTAAATACCTAGGAAAAGAGGAAAAAATTGGAAAAGTTTCCTTTTTCTTTACATAGCAAGGACACACGAATTAATATGTCTGATATTTCCTATTTCCTTGTACTTCTCCACAGTGCTGTTAAAACTGGAAGACAACAGTGAATGTCAGATGGGGAAGTAACCTTAATTCACAGAAATTACCACTTCTTTAGACAAGCTGAGATGCAGTCCCAAGTTTCTGGAAAGTAACGAGCACTCCATATACCAACGCATGTGTAGAAAGAGAAGAAGAGGAAGGCTACAAACTAGTACTTCTGTGTGATAAACACTATAGAAGTTATACCTATTATTTACTTTCATATTTTTCAGGCATCTAGCTTCATCTGAAAAAAAAGTCACAACAAAGCATATGAAGTTTAACATGAAGAAGCATTCATCAATCATAGACGTCCAGTCAGATAAATATTTGTACCCTAAATTTTCCCTTGTCTTTCTCCTGTCTATATGTTTTGAATAGACTGGTTTTGTCATTACCCTAATCCATACATACCCTTTTACTAATTCAACCACAATGAAATCGTTTCCGTCGCCACTGTTATAAAGTATCAATCCATCCAGAGAGGTTGTTTTGAACTGGAAAAAAAGGTGCATAGATGTATATGCTTGTAGCGTGGCCAATGCAACATAACTTGCTTTTGTTTTAAAGGTTACAGGGTCTGCTATGATGTTCCTGAACCCAAATCTTGCGTTTAGCTCACAATAATCGATGTCTCCATTTTTACATAAGTCAATGTATGCCATGCCATTAAACGTAAGACTCTGTAGATGCCCAATGAAGTTAGAAGGCACAGAAGACAGGTAGCGCCGCTCTGTTATTATTCCTGTTTCTATGTTGTGGAATTCCAGTCGTGTGTGATCACCAGCCATCTGACCTTTAAAGAGTAACAAGAAAACACATGTTAGCATCGGAAATGGGAGCTCAAAAAGCACGTCATGCAATTAAGTAGCTGCATCAATTTTGCGCTTTTCGGAATGCGCAAGGCCAATTCTTGGCTCCAAAGAGGATTCTTCTGAATTCATCCAAACTACTGGTAAACATCCGAGAGCCTTTCAGTATGTTCATACCGAGTTCAGTATGTTTGGATAAGGTCAACAGTGAGATTTCTACACCGAAACACACTACCACGATATACCAAACTGCCAACGGAATCCCTCACTTCGCTTACACTTAACCCGACATGTGGCTTTACTATAAGCAAGTACAACTAATTAACACAACGTGAAGATCACAAAGGCAAATCTCAGAGCTGAAACTACAACATTAGAGTTTCATGGAAGAGAGATGTAACGGTTAACGGTTCGGGGGGGTATTATTCCGTGTGTTTTGCCTAAAAGTGCATGATTTGGCAAGAGGCAGGAAGGATTCATGTTTAAGCTGTCTTAGATACGTTAATGCTGGTCCTGCTGCAAAATCTTGTGCTGCAAGGGTGGGCAGAGCCTTCCTTGGAAGCAACTGGCTTTATACCATGGGGATAAACTGTGGGAGAAGGGGGGAGAATCTAAGAGATGGACGAAGCAAAAAGCCTGCAGCAAGGGTGTATGCCATTGCCTTGTAACGCTGAAAATTGCAAGGGACTTGCTTACATCAGAAAGGTGGACAAAATCAAGCCTCACAGCTGCCTTTGAGTTTGTGTCACACACGGACTCCTGCACAGCAGAAAGCCTGAAATTTGCTGACTGTAATCTGAAGGAAAGCATCAACACTGCCCGGATACGCCACATACAGGTCAGGTTAAGTTTTTAAGTTAGTTATTAAATACCTCACCCAGCACATCAAAATTGTGCCCACCGAAGAGCTTCCTTTTCTAACAGAGCTTAGATTTTTTTTTCCCATGCTTATTTTAAAGTAGGTCAGTACTATCACAAGGCTGATGCATGGCTACATTGTGTGGGTATGATGACAAAACAGCTTTTTATTACTAATCTATTTTGCCACTTAACATTCCTTTTGCAAACCATGGCCTAGATTGCCCAGTTCCTTAGTCATTTTGTGTGTCTCGTGGAGTACAAAGGTGGTGAACAGCAGACCTAGCCAAGCTGGAATGAATACCAGCATAAAACAGCTCTGTAATACAAGTTCCCACAGTTGCAGTGCAAAGCTGTGGACAGGCCAAATTCCCTCCGTCCTTCCCTGAACGTACCATTGCAAGAGGAGAGCGTGCGCTCTGGCCCAGGCTGGAGGTGTTTAGCAGTGGCGCAGAAAGCTCTGAGGCAGGCTTAGACAGCTGTACCTTCACAGGTTTTATAAGCAAGCGACTGTGCACGTGTGTGTGAAGAGGGAAAAGATAAGGGTAAGATGAATGTAGGTATATTTGGGTTTTGCCCAGGGAGATGGATTCACACACAGGTTAAGTCACAGAACTGAGATACAAATACAGGTATCGGTGAAGTTACAGTGAAAATAGGTCTGCAGGCTTTAACACCATTCAGACTATGCACACGCACACAAAATTGCTCTAATAGTTTACGATAAATATTTACAAGCAGCTTACTTTGCTTCAGGATGCATTCTCTATAAGAACTAACTCTGCCGATGTCATTGAACAGCATCAGCATCTGATATCTGCAGTCATATGGCTGAGCACTGCAAGAGGCACCTTAATCCCCAAGGACAGCCTTCTTGGTGGTCTTGTTTCTAAACTTCAGTTCTGAAGATAATACTTCCCCTGATGTATTAAGCAAAGGTGGGTTCTTCCTTGTAGTAATGAGTCAGGGAGTTGTCTTGAAAAATGCCAAATCTGTAACTTCCTGCAAGGCCGAGAGCTGTATATTGGATCACAGCCAGAGAGCTGAAGATCATGTTTTAGAGGAACATTATATATGCCAGTCTTGTATCACTTCAGATGGCATTGCGTAAATGTCATGGCAAAAATCCACTAAGCTTTGGCCTGTAGTATAATATCCTCACTACATTCACTACCTTAAATGTATTTCTTTCTTGAGCATAGTAATAAAAGTTCCAGAATCTGGGCTCACATCCCAAATCTCCCTCTAACATTTCAGTTGTACAAACATGCTAACAGGACTTGAGACTTCGCATCATGCTCCACGGTATTTGCAACTATCACAATGAAGGAAAGAGATTGCAGTTTGTGCTTTAAGGTTGGGGGGTTTGGGTTTTGTTTTTGTTTTGTGGTGCTTTGGGGGTTTTTGTTTTGTTTTTTAAACTTGTCAGGTTGGCGCACAAAATGCATTACCTGTTACAAAACTATGTGACATCATACAAAGGCCAAGTGAATTTCTGTTCGTAGCCATAAGCTAGGTGTCCTTTCCATTATCCAACTGTAGTGGCCTCCTTCAGTCCACTTCTATTTTCTATATATTTTCAGAAAACAAAGTGCACTAGGGCTGCAAGTATTTAAACTCTTCTATGATGAGTAAAATTTTCAAAACCACCTGTATGACTTCCAAGGAAAGCTAATTGCACTAATTATGCATTTGTCAAAGATAGCTAAGCTCAATCCATGGATGAATTGGTGATATTTTATAACCTGTAAAAAATGGAAAGTCAGGCTGGATTATTTAATGGTTTTGCCTCCAACTTAAACTTTCTGTATCTGATGAGATAGATTTGATCTTTTTCATACATGGCACAGGAAATAGAAACAAAAAAGGAAAACACAGTGTGTGGTAGGGGAAAGCTGGAATTTGTGGGAGGAAGTCCATTTTTTCCTCATGCTCCATACAAGATTGTAATAACCTTTCACATGAATAAATACCAGCTTATATTTTAACCACATTTCTAATTGTTGGGACGTCTGAAGAAAAGTTCCAAGCAGTTTAAAGCAAGAGTACTCCAATCTGATACGGCAACTCTTTCACTACCCCTTTAGGAAATTCAAAGCTGCTACATATTAAATCGCAATGTGTACATTTGAAACTTAAGCTCATGACGGCTTTGCCACTGTGTTGCAAAAAAAAAAAGTCTGAGTGCAACATGGCAGTAAAGATTTTCCATGTAGAAAATGTAATATTCCTGAGACTAACAGCAGATTTCCCATGTTATCAGACTTCCAAGTTCCCTCTAGCTCCTTCTTTCACCCCAGCTCCCTCCTCACTGATGAAGGACCACCACAGATTGGCCATACAGCTTCCTGCAGGGAGTTTAGGATGATTTTTTTCCTCCAAAATCCTGGGATGATTTTTTTCCCCCTTGGATGAAGGGCATTAAACATCTGTGGATTATGCAAACGTAGGCAACTTCCAGCTTGAAGAACCAGGAGGGATTTCAAGTCAACTGGCCAGCTTCTGATATAGGTACTGGCTACTGGCATGTGGAAAGAATACAAGTCTTGTACCAGAAAGTTGGACCCACAGGCAACACTTTTACTTGATCAGAACACAACTGAAAAGACTCACTGGCTTTAACAGCCAGAGTAGAACAGAATAGTTCAGTTGGAAGGAACCTACAATGACCATTCAGTCCAACTGCCTGACCACTTCAGGGTTGACCAAGAGTTAAAACATGTTGTTAAAGGCATTGTCCAAACGCCTCTCAGACGCCGACAGTCTTGGGCCATCGACCACCTCTCTGGGAAGTCTGTTCCAGTGTCTCAGCCATTTGCTGATATTTGATAGTAACTACAGTTATCTACAACGGAGAGTGATTACACGAACTTACTGTCCTGCATTCCTTACTTACTTCACCTGCCTAGACTACATACGATAGAAACCCGGTTTCATCTTAATCCTTAAAAAATATTTCAAGCTTTTCTGAAGTTACGCTGAGTAGATGAAACTGAACCCAAAGGTGAAAACCGTACTACTTTGTGGTTTTGTAACCTGTTGTATTTGTAAATAAGAAATCTGCCATGAGGAGCCAAGGAAATGTGCATTTGGTTCTAGATACTGTATTTTATCCAGATCTAAACATCTTCCTCTAACTATAAAATGTCCCCAAAGTAGCCTTATTAGAGTTGCAGTTGAAGCAGCAAGATGATATCTTTCAGTATAGTTCCTCCAATATTATGTATTTATTTTAGTTCCTCCAATACTACATATTTATTTTCACCAAGAAAGTAACTGGTTTAGGCCATCTGCTTTCTTGGGAGAATGACTCAAAGCATCATCACATACAGAGACTAAATTTTTGCTTCACCTCTGGAAGATCTATTGGTAACTTCTGATTCTAGAAAATATGTTCTTGCAGCTATATGAATAAATAGCAATTATTTTTCTACCAGCGACGTGGTCTTCAGTGTTCTGCTGAGGTGAAAAGGAACTACTAAAGAAGGTGCTTTCCTTTTATAAACCCATTAAAATTGTTACCATTTTAACAAAGCTTAGAACCAATGATAAAAGTTGTTTAATACTACACAAAAACAAATGAAAATAGCTAAAGGAGATAACAAAGGAAATCAACTAGCACAAAATTAGACACATTGTATTGTGCAAGGAATCAGGACCAGAAGTCAAGCCTTTAGCTGTTAACAACACACACGTAACTCGTATCTTTAACAGAACAAAATCAAAGTGTTCGCTATTATCATTTCTGATAATATATACCTAGGAGTGTACTTCTAACATCTGCTAGCATTCATCTCATGTTTTTTCTCCTATCCCAACTGCTATTTTAGTATGAGAAAAACCTATTGCCTAACATTTAATTACTGAGGACAGCTGATGCAAGATTTAAAACACAATAGAATATCCTTCAAACATTTATGAAATTCTTTCTTACAGCAATGGCTTAGGGTTTAATCTTCGCAGAAGTTTAGTGTGTTGCCAAAAGCATTTTACTTGCCTTCTCATTACTGATATATCAAATTACTTCTTTCCACTTACTGTACAAAAACATTCATTTAAGTCAGCATGAAGGTTTTCATTAATTCCAATAGCAATATTAGAGTAACATGAATATCAAGAGTAATAACGCACTTGTAGTACCAGTATTTCAAGATGCATAACATGGAGTTTGGATCTTGCCCAAGAAAAAAGCATCTGTTGCTTTCAGATTAAGGCATTTTACTTCCGTTATTTTTTGTTTTGTGTTTCCCCCCAGTAATACAGAGTCACAATGCCACACTACCTGTCATGGCCTGCTGGTCATCCACCATTAACTTTAAACTTTTTCCTCGCCGAACCACACGCACTGTGTGCCACTCGTTATCATTGAGGTTATAGCCAGCAAAAAGGGTTTCTGGACCTTTGCCTGTAGGATATGCCAAACAGTCATTATGCAATCTTTAAATCAGTTTATACGTGAACCTCACAGAGAAAGAGAGAGAGAGAAAGAGAAAGAGAGAGACACTGGCTGGGCAAATGTTAAAACTCACCCAAAGTCACATCAAGCAAGAAAATTATGAAGTATAAGCAAACCTCAAAATATAGAGCTACGATGTTAAAACACTTCTACTGTCTATTTAACTATATAAATGTATCATATATGCACATTTAACAAACCAGGTTGTCATAAATAGGCACAGTCAACATGGATTTAGTTATGCACTTCTGAGTCATATACAAGCCCCTAGGAAATGGGATTACTGCAGCCAGAACTTCTTCAGCATGTATTTACAAGACTGGATTTTTGTTCCTTCATTAAAAATAGTTTGGGAGAAAGGTACAAGTGGTAAATGTGTGTGCATGTGTGTTATACTTTTCTTAATCTATGTCAGCTTCTCAGTCTATGTTTGTTTATTAGGGTTTTTCAGAAGATCATCTACTACCTTATCATCGAGATGACTCGTTAATACTCAGATCCAGTACCTTCTGATGTTAGAAGACCTTCAAACCATACTTTCCTTTTTCATTTAATGGATACTTTTTGGTAATCTGCTCTTTTTGCAAGTAGTACAACACACTTTTGAAGCAAATATAATTCTACAAATAGCACGATGTACTTGCAATAACTGAAGTATTCACAAATCTAGGAAACAGGCTATCTTTAGACCTAGGAAAAAAATTCTCAGATGAAAATTATAATGGAAATTTTCCCTTGCACTGTTGACCAAGAACAGAGAGAGACAAAAATCCTGACTATGAATTATCACTGATATGAGCAGATGATCGACCAAGCGCTGACCCAATCAATCAAAACTTCTGTCCTCAAACCTGAGTTATTGGTCCTATGTGGCGACCATCCAAAAGGCAAAGCTAGTCCGCAATTAACAAATTATGTTCTTGTGAAATAGAGACCTCCCTGGCCTGTTTTTCAGTTCCTGCAGCAGAATAAGGGCTGCTGCTAACTAAGGAGGCATGTAATAAAGTAACATTTGACACGAAAACATTAGAGTTGCACTGAGTCAGACCATTACCTCCACTATGTCCTTCCAGGTGACTACATCCCACATATCAGCCTTCCTTTAAAAGGGATGTGCCACTGGCTCCAAAACACTCACAATTCTTTTTGGATTCTTTTCCACCCAGTGCAGGCTGTGATGGATGACCTCTATTAATAAATGGGCACTATATGACATTGTCTAACATCAAAGCCTCTCTGACTTCAGGACTGCACAGAGGGGATAAAGACACTAATAGTTTGAGGTACCTGTTCAGCATATTGGACGGTTTTCATCTCAGACACTCCATTTTTCTATCAGCATTTTTTTAATTGCTGCTGGTCTATTGCCCTGCTTTTATATGCAATCTTTGCCACTTTAAGCATGTCAAGAGATCTCCAGGAATAAAAATACTAGCTACAGCAAAGGCAGTGGGATTCTAATGGCACTATGTTGCTTTCTCTATGCCTCTGTATTGACACTAGGCTAGAAAAGGCATGCAAACCCAACAGAAAGAGATGTATATGTAGTCACTGGTGTCAACTACCTGAATTGTTCTGCTCCTTAGATGTTTACTTTCTTTGACAAGAGAAAGATAAGTTTTGCATAAAGCTTAAGTGAATAATGTTCTTTTTAAATATGGTGATAGAGAGGCAGTGGACAATGCTTAATTTCCATTATTCTATATTCTATTGGGTACTTCAATGAAAGCAATTTCTAACCAGGTTTGGGAGGCAAGCAATGGATTTACAAAAAATGTTCAAATGACGTGACTAAAAATCTTAGTGAGAGTCAATGAGCCTGCCTAGAAATACATCATTTACTATTATTTTAAAGATGTTAGCCCTTCTTCCTCTGTTAGTCCAACTCCTTTTCTTTTTTTTTTTTAATTTTGTATGTAATGGAACTACTTAGTCTCCCTATCTCACAACAGATCTCTAAAAGACCTAAAAAGCATATGCAATTTTAATTTGCTTTCACATTAACAACCCTCTGTAGTATCCCATTCACGTAAAGGTGCCTCAGCGTATATAAATATCAAATCGAACTTGGCTGCTCACATTTATACAGGCAAACATGTCTATTCTCTTTTAATGGTTAGGGACTTATAAACTCTTCCTATTGTACAATTAAATGTATGTTTTCCTATGTATCAGTATTTCCCTTGCAAGAGTACTCAGAGTAAAAATATCAGGTCAGAACTACCTGTAAACTGCCTTTGTTCACAGTGCACGCAACCCAAAACAGGATTAAAGGGAACTGCGGTGCAAGGGCTACGAAAAGGGTGAACCTGGGTATAACACGCTATGGGAGCAATGCACTGAAATCAGTCCTGGCGTCGTAGAAACTACCTACCTTGCACAGAAAAGAGTCTTTTCTTTCCTGAAGCCAATCTCTAACAGAGAAGAGGGATTTTTGTTTTGTCATTTGTACAAGGAACCACAAAATAGCAAGACGCAGTGCCCAGGTACTGGGTACGTACCTGTCACATCATATTGCATCTCTGCAAAGTAGCATAGTTTTCCATGGCAGCTGGAGAGGTGGATGGGTGGATGAGGAAGGACGGATGCCCACCATTCTTGTAGAGAATGTAGTGCTTGGGCTGCTTCCTGGCCAAGAACATGACTTTGCAAACAAAAGTAGTAAATGTGCTTGCGAGCAGTGTATTTAGGAGGAAATTTTCTAAATGCTTAAACACAAAAACATGTAGGAATCCCCTGATACTACACAAGAGTACAAGGGCTGCAGAAGAAAACTCTTAATATATCTTGTTAAATGGCACTGGCTGACCTCAAACATAGTTTATATTAGTACTTTCCTTACTGACTTTTAAATATATTGACCTGAAACTAATTTAAACATCATATTATTGAGATCACAACAGTTCAGATTCTTCTGTCCTGGTTTATATTTTTTTAGTTTATAGTGAATCTACTGTAAATCTAGATCTACTAAATCATTGGCTCTCCAGTCTTATTCTGACTTTACACTGTATATGATTCCACTGCATTTAAATCACACCAGCAGAAAGTGTTGTTGTATTTAAGAATTGGCGCATTGCCACTTTGGGAGTGGGGTGGCTGGGCATTTTTTTACATTCTTTGCTCTAAAAAATTAAGTATCTCCCATGAGAAAAAAAGCAAGAGCCCTAATAAAAAAAGGATTTTTTTATTTTTGTTTTCTATGGACCGATACTACCCTTCCAACCTTATGTCCCTCCACTCTGATTTCCCATACTATTCTTCCCCAGAACTCATTTGTCTCTTTCTAGACAGGAGACAGTTAATTTGTTTCATGTACCCAGCACTCACTTTCTGAGCTACTGATTCTTTCAGAAACTAATATCTTAATCATAAACCTTTCCTTTCAGAGACAAGTTGTAACCTGCAAAAATCCACTAAGTATCTCCTCTTCCTTAAGTATGAAATTTATTATCAATGTCTATGTTCAGCTCTTTTCCTATTTTAAAGGCTTAAATAACTATTAGATTTTATGCATCCCTAGAGTGAACGGATAGTACCAAATAAAAAAAGTATAGGCACTTTTATGCCTCCCACAATTTGCTCATAGTCCATCACACCAGTAAAATGTGCACATCCATTTACAAGCAGATAATTGCTTGTACAACCATTTTTTTTACAGGGGCAGATACAGACTGTGCAGGCAGTTGATAGAGGTACAAATCTCGATGATGCAATTTATTATGAACTAGGACACATAAATGTAAAGCCCCAAACATCCTAAATTATAGCTTTTCTTAGGCACCCAAAGTTGAGCTTACTTTGTTTTCAGAACCTCAGATAGAACTGAACTGCCTTCGGTTCTTTTTAAAGTTAAAGTAAAAAAAAAAAACCCTCAAAAAGAAATCTCTCATTTTCAGTGTGCTGAATGATCTAAATGTTCTCTGGAGATTCCTATTCTCTTTACTATCCTGTGAGGAGCCTAGTCAGCCTAATTGAAGGGCTGAAAATTTGCTGGGTTCAGATGGGCCTATTAATTGACGGTAACACACATACCTACTTTTTCTCTTATAGATATCTATCCTGTTGTACTTAAATCAGAAGATCTTTTAACCAACTATTTGAACAGAACTTCACAAAAACCAAACTGATCACTTTGAAACAAGATAGAAACATTGGCATTGTACCAAAACACATTCAAAACTAGTCCTCTGAACCAAACACAGGAATTATTAGTGGCTCTTACAATGCCATCCACCACCACCAGGGCATATACCAAAATGCCACCCGAACTTGCTTGGAGCATTCAATTCTGTGATCAAAAGTAAATATCAAAAATGAAGTATCAAAAGAAAGACAAAAGTAAATAAAGACTAGCAAGGGAGATTGGATGGTTCAGTGAATGCTATACTAACCTACAGAACCCAAGTTAGTTACAGGCAGACTGCTACTATCTATTTATCAGTCAGTATAAGAAATGTCAGTCATTTCAGCCTAGTTTGCTAACAGGTAACTATGCGTACTACAGCAATCAATATCAGGTAGCATTTCCCATTTGAAATTTGAGAGAATAAAAGCGGACAAAAGGACAAAACCCTGAGATCCCTCCATTTAATAGAGAATATTACTTTGAGGTCAGGGCTGCTAAAGTTTCAGATGGAGTCTTACAGCTAGAAGAATATACACATAGTGAGCTGAATTGTAAAGGAAAGACAGTTAAGCAGGTGTGAGAGACACCCAAGAGAGTTATTATAAATACCTAATGCAGAACCAGAGAACTCTGTGCCATCTCATTTATCCTGCTTTTCAGGGTAAAGCTAGCGTGCCTGTAATCCAGGCTTCCGTTCCAGCAAGCAGACAGTCTCACAGCCACTGCGCAAACCTTGTGAGGCATCTCTGTTACACACCAGTCTGCAGCACAAAAAGTTCAGAAAAGATTCCTCCAGAACCAGATGCAGAAACACAAGACA